AGTAGCATGTCCAGTTTGTGGGTTATATAAAACACTATGTATGGTACAGAAAAATAAAAATATCAGATCAAATCAGCAGGAAAACTGAGATGATCGTGACTCTGATGAAATTGTAACAAGACGAGAAAGGATAAAGATAAAGATGAAGATAAAAGATGATGATTATAATAATCATGAGAGAGAAAGAGAGAAAGAGAAAGTCAAACATTTCTTACGTGGCACCCAAATTCTCAGAGATTAATCTTTGGAAATTGGATACCATGGAAAAAGAAGAAGAGAGCAAAAGAGAGAGAGAGAGAGAGAAAAAGAGAAAGAATTATTTAATATAATATTATTATTATGCTATCATTTTTCAGTTCATGGTAATAATAATGATAATAACGGTCCTCGCCATTGAATGATGACATGAGTATCACCCACTGTGAAATCTATCTCACTCAATCTCTCTCCCTCTCTCCCTTACTATTATTTTTGGTTAACACAATGAAATATCACGCCATTTTCATATATATATGATCATCATGATAATGATGAAATAATAAACTTAACAGTGTTATTATCATTTAATTTATTATGATGATTGCTATTAATATTTAGCATTATCATCAATTTTTACAAGAGCATATAAATATTTCTCACACACACCTTGTCTTAATCAAAGTGACCCCTCAAGGGTAGTTACACACACACACAAATTCACTGGCTCAACTTCATCATGATAAGATGATGACCATTGAATCAAAATGATAATAAAAAACAGTTTCTCTCTCTCTCTCTCTCTCTCTCTCATCGCTGATCCAACCTGAATTATTTAATACTAATACTCTGAAAAAAACTTCTCTGAATTAATGACAGAATAAAAGAGAGAGAAGATGAAAGATGATGAGGTAAATAGCCTGAGGGATAGTAAATTCTGAATACAATGTGTTTCAGTTAACACACTCTTGAGATAAAAATAGTGGACAAGTTGAAAGGTCAATCAATATGCAATAGAGATGAAGAGATAGAGAGAGAGAGAGAGGATAATTGAAAAGGATGCGGATTAAATTGGATCAACTTATCCAAAAGTGATGAACATATGATCCCAAATGATTTGATAATCATTCGAGATATTGAATAGGGATGGAAAAAAATTCAATCATTAACATGATGATGATCAAGAGAGAACAATTAAAAATAGATAGACTAATCAACAAATGAATTAGCCTGTTAATTTGCGACCACAGGATCACTGAGAGAAGATAAAGATAATGAGAGAGGGAAAAGGGGAAGAGAGATAATGATGATAAAGAATGAGGATGAAGGGAAAGATGAATTAAGTTCAATTGATTAGATGATTAAGAAGATGAGAATAAAAAAGAGAAGGCAGAGTTTTCTCAATCAATTAACTCTCATTCTCTCCCTTCTCCATCACTTTTCAGTTCTTCATCATCCTCATCATCCTCATCATGCTCTTTCCTTTTCTTCTTCTTCCTTTTTTTCAGTTATCTGTTTGAAACAACCGATGTTGTGTTTGTCATCATCATCAATGGAAAGTTAAGCTTGGAAAAAAAGTAATCAGTAGGCGTATTCAATTCAAATCATTTATCACTTTGATCTTCATCTTCATCCTCATCAACATCTCTTTCTTTTCTTCTTTTTTTGTCTGCGAGATAGAGATCGTGCAAAGGAGCAAGAATAAAGGGAGAGGAAGAGAGAGAGGGTGAGAGAGATTAATCCAATTTAATTTAATGTTGAGATGATGTCTTTTCAATGGATAAAAAAACCTCGAGTGAGACTAATTAATTTGAATGGTTCATCAAAAATCCGGTTTCTAGTTTCTGTCATTTTTGCTTGGAGACACATAATCAGAGGACGAGAGAGAGAGAGAGAGAGAGAGAGAGAGAGAGTCAAATAGATACACTCACACAAAGATAATAACATATACACATCAAACTGTCAGAACTAAAGTTTTTCAAAGTAAAAAGTAGTAACATTTTTGTAATTATCTGTATGATGATAAAATAATAATCATCATCAAAATCAACATGATGATGATTATTATCAACATCAGAAAAGGTTAACATTTACACACACAAAATCATTGACAAATTTAGGAAAAGAGAGAGAGAGAAAAGATTCCATCAGAAAAAAAGTAAAAAGTATCTAAAGTTTTTATGATCAGAAAGAAAAAGTTGATTCTGATCTTGAAGATCATGAAAAAAAAGTATTAACTGAATAAATTATCATGGCTCTAAATTAATTGGAAAGAAGAAAAAATTACTTGTTAAAGATATCATGTAATATAAACAAGATGACGATCAAGTAAGAGAAAAGTAAGATCGAGTCATGGTCAAGAGGATGAGGAAGATGAAGATCATCATCTTAATGAAACAAAATTGAACTGAATTAAGAAGAGAGAGAGACAGACAGATAAATAAACATTGAAGAGAGTGAGTAAAAGAGAGTATTAAAGAGATGAGAGGATGAAAATCTTGAGACAAGAAACATAAGTGAGAAGAATAGTTAATAAGACAATTTAACGTAATAGAAGATGATTAAGAGAATGGGAGAATGAGAGAGAAAGAGTTTAGAACTTAGTGAATGAATAGAGAAGATGATGCGGAAAACTCGTCAAGAAATTGTTCTCTTCTAATTTTATCCTACAATTATTGATGACGATTAAAGAGACAAGATGATGATACTCCTTCTCTTTCTCTCATCATCATCATCACTGACTCTTCACAAAGATTACAGGATGTTTACAGTGTTGTTGTTGTTGTTTCTGTTTTGTTGAATCTGATAATGGTTACAAAGAATAAGGAGAAACCTATTCTCTATCCAATTACGATTTAATAGTAATTTGTATTTTCTTCTTGTTAAAAGATAATTTGAGATATTTAATGAAACAAGATGATGAAGATAATGATTAAGAGTAAAATCGTTTAGTAAAAAGATATGATGATGATGAGAGAGAGAGAGAGAAACAGTAAATTATTTAAACTGTGAAAAGGTGATGATGTTAAACAGTTATTTTGATTTTCTAGTTAAAGATAATATAACAATACATATAAACCATCATTAAATTTGTTATATTACATTTGAAAATTGATCTGATCATGATGATTGTTTTCAGATATATAATATACACCAAGATCATCAATTGTCATGTGTTAGTTGTGTTTACAATGTTAAAACCACTATATATCTTGTTAATAGATAATGAAAGATAATGATAAACAAGAGATTGATGCTAACAGAAGTCAATAATAATAAAATGAATATGTAATAACATAAAACAAAACACTTACCGTCATGATGATGATGAGTATCAGGTAAAAAAAAACACATAACATGTATCATTCCTTATTATTTGCTTCATGTTCAGCTATTTACTCAAACGATGATGATGATGATGACGATGATGATAAAGTAAATGCTGATGATGATACACCTTCCCACCTTTAAAGGTTGACAAACATGGTGAGGTAACATAAAAGTTGATAGACACACTGAGAGCACAATGTTGGTTAATGAGGATGATAATGATGAGAAAGATGAACATAGATCATCATCATCAACGTGGATGATAAAGAGTGAGAGAGAAAGAGAAAGAAGAAGCTGAAAAACAAGACAGAGAAGATAAAAGATGATGAAAATTGTGCTTTGTTTGGGATCATTTTCTTTTTCTCTTCCAATTAGAAGGTTCATCTTCCCTTGTTTTCATGTCTTTCTTTTTTTTAAATTTTTCTTTTGATTGTTGTTGTTGTTTTTTTTCTTCTTATTCTTTTCCAAAGTAATACCATTGACTTTTTGAGATGATAAACATTAATCCTCCTCCTCCTCCTTCATCATCTTGTTAATCATTATCATCATCAGCATCAAAATGTTACAAAAGACCAAGGGTAAGTTTGTTGGGTTAACTTAATGAATTATGTGTGTGTGTGTGTGTGTAATTTGGTAATTAAAGTGGTTGTTACGATTTGTTTATATGCAAAAGTGTAGTGTTGGTAAAAAAACTGTCATGGTGGTTTTTATGTTTACTGTCATGTTGTAATTAAAATTAGCAAGTATCATTTTGTGTGAGTGGACATGACTTGTCTCAGGTCATGGTGAATGTGTGTCACTGTTTCCGTTGACAGATAACTTTTTCCTATTTGAATCCACTCCCAAACAAAAAATTCATCATTGTGAGAGATGGGTGGAGAGAGAGAGAGAGAGAGAGAGCTGAGTACCATTGGTAGTAAAAAAAACCATTATCATTGTTGACAGTTAGATGATGATGATGGTGATGATGAAAAGGCAAAATCTACAATCATTTATACTTTGACATGGTAGGAGATATATACTAATGTGATGACAATGCCGCAAAGGTGAAAAGAGACAGAGAGAGAGAGAGAGAGATGATCAAATCTCTCTCATATTCTTTATTTTATCAGCTTATTCCTCTAATATTAAGACAAGAAAAGAGAGAGAGAGAGAGAGAGATTTCGTTAATCATCCAAGATTAAGGATTATCTCTCTCGTCCAAGGTAATTTGATTTTAAACGGCAAACGTAAAAACATATTAATAAACTTCCAACCATTCAAAATAACTGGGTAGGGATGCAGGAGGAAGATGAGGAGATCTTGAAGACACACACATAGTCATATTATCATTATCATCATCATCAAGATAATTACAACAGGTCCGTACCAAAACACGTAGGCACGCTCAGTATGTGTGTGTGTGTGTGTTGTAATTGATTTGTGTTGATTTATCAATTAGAGTATGATAACATATATTTATTATAAAATAATCTGTATCATCTCATCACATCTCGTAACTTTTAAGTGTAGTATGAAAGCATTAATATAAACATTTATATTCACTTCTTGTCTTTCTCTCTCCTTTTTAAATCATTGACCATCATCAGTATCATCATCAGGCTTTTTAGTAATCATCAGGATCATTTAGCTTCCAGAAAAAAAAATAAACGAAACTGCAATTGCTCCTCCATCCATAAAGAGTCCATCATAACCATCATCATGATAATCAATGAGATGAGTTTTTTTTTCATCGGTGTCACATAAATTATCTTAATAAATAACTCTTTAAGTGTAATTAACTTTAATTATGTTGCACTGGACTTTGTGATATTTATGTATCTCTGGTTGTCATTTTTAAATGTGTATGTGTGTGTATGATTGTGTGTTTTAAGGAGCCATCAACTCACTGGTTAGACTTTTTATCATCAATAAAGATTTTTTGATTTAAATCAATTTGATTTTTTTGAGAAAATTAAGAAATTTTGTTTCTGCTGTTGTTGTTTATGTATTTCCAATTAATTCATTGCGGATAATCATAAATATGACGAGAGCAGAGATAAGTTGAATTACGTTTATCTGTACTTGTATCAATGAGTATCTTTGAATAGGGACTGGTCAGTTGATTGATTGTTGTCACTCCTAGTGACCCATGCATAAGGGACATGGTTCGGTCAACAGTGTCCATCATGGGTGTGTTAATTAGGGAAAGGGTTCTATCTGATTCAGGATCACCATAGTCTGGACTTGAAGAGCCAAATGTTTGATGAAGAGGATGATGGGTATGGTGAGGATGAACATGGTGTCCAGTTGAGTGTAAAGGATGGGTAAGCTGATGATGAGACCCATTGGTTGATGCTGGATTATAAGCAAGGTTACCTGTTTGATAAGTTTGACAAAATTCAAAGCTTGTCTTTGCTGGACCCTTGGAACGGATTTTACGTGAATATACAAATACTATAAGTAAAACAATCACAATAGCACCAAGGCCAATTATTATGGTCACTGCATTGGCAATTTCAGACATAACGGGTGAACCTCCGGAATTATTGTTACCACCAGTACCTCGGTTGTTTGTACCACTTTCTCGACCTATCTGATTATCGGGTAATAATGATTCACTTCCTCCTCCTCCTAAAGTATCACGAACTGATCGAGTTGTTTTACTAATTATTATTGGACTAGGATCGGAAATACCAAATGAATTTGAAGCGGTCATATAAAGTTTATAAATTGTCATTGGATTTAAATTTGTTAAAATATATTCACTGTGGGTTGAAAGGGATTCATGTTGATGGGGTAAAGTTATTTGTTTCCAGGAAATATCTTTCGATTCTTTATAATTTAATTGGAACATTGAGATTGGAGCATTTGAAGAGTTAATTGTATAAACAATTGTTAATGAATTTGAACTGGTTGACTTAATATTTACACGAGGTATTGAAGGTAAATCACCTAGTAAAGTTTTCACAGAGATTTCGGGAGATTCAGGACCCGTTCCGGCAGCATTGGAGGCTCTCACAGTGATTAAATAAGTTGTATCCCTGGATAGGGAGGTTAACATATATTCATGACTATTGGAATATGATGAAACAAAGGCTGTTTGGCAATTTGGTGATAATGATAATGATGATGATGATGATGAAATTACACGATAACAAACATGGTAACCAGTGATTTTACCATTCCATTTATCATGAGATGGTGGTTTCCATGTAACTCGTATGGTGTGAGGTCCACGGGCAAAGGTTTGAACACTCAGTGGTGGACCTGTTGGTGCATCTTCAAGTGTCAAAAATTTCACTATACGAGATGGACTTCCTAAACCGATACCATTAAAGGCGACAATTTCAGCCTCATAATTGGAACCGGCATCAAGGTTGGAGATCAAATAGTTTGTTGTTGTTAGTGATGAGATATTCACTTGTTTGGTAATATCATTTCCGGTTAAACCAGAAACTTTCCAATAACGTATAATATAACCATGGTTAGATGATGAATATGATGATGAGGATGATGATGATGATGATAATAATAAGGATGGATGGATGGGTGACCATGTAAAATTAACACTTTTAGATGATAATACGGAAACCTTAAAGTTCAATGGAGATGGTGGTGGTTCACTTGATGATAATCGCTGTGAATTTTGATCTTTAACAAAATTAGATTCAGATAATCCTGGATAACTTTCAATTTCAACTTTAGCCAAACGGTAAGGTGAGGCAACGTAAAGGTAACGCTGATTTGAATGGATGTGCATATCAGATAATATTGGATGACCAGGGTCAATGGTTATTTCACCAAACTCTTCACCTTGATTGGCATGAGAAAGAAGAATCTATTTCATGAGAGAGAGAGAGGGAAGAAACAAAAAAAGACAATAAGATAAGAAAGGAAAGATGAAGATGAAGATGATGAAGAAAACAATAACAATAATAAGATGTAATGAAAACCAAAACCCAGGAAAATTGTAATAGATTAAAGGTAAAGATACAATTGTTACGATGAGAAAATTAAGCAAATAACAAGTGTAATAGATATTTGCTTGATGATAAAGATATTCTAGTTAGTTAATTATTTGATTGAGAATAGGGTATTAACATTATGCTCGTAACAATTGGGATAAAGTTGTTATCATGAGGGGTCCACCAAGTTGATTACTACCAGAAAATAAGTATTGTTAGTTGAGCAAGTCAACTAATCTCTGTATCTCTTTTTTTTTTGATTTAATAATAAGAAGCTGATCATTTGTTGCCTGAGATTTTCTGTTGCTAGGAGAATCCTAATTACTTTGAATTAACGGCACACATGCACATACAAAATTCTGAAATTAATACAAGAATCTTTTCATTAACTGGTTGTAATAAAAGAGAGATAAATTTCCAAAGCTTAATGATTTAAATACAATCATGGTAATAATAATAATAATGTAGTAATATTATCATGTCGTATCCATAAAGCTTCAACCAATTTACATGAGAAAGTTCAATTCCAAGGAAGAAAAGTTTAATTACCATCTCTAGGACAAAACTAATCATAATCCATAAACTGATTGAATATAAATATCAATTCAATTATTTCATGAATCTTGTTTACTGTTAGCAAAAAGGGAGAGAGAGAGAGAGAGAGATAATTTATGGCAATAATATTCAAACATCTCAAGGATAAGTTGAGAAGTTTCAATAATCCATTTAGAGAAAAAAAGTAACCGGATTAATTTCCAATACAGGAATTAATATAAATCTTTCTTTAATGGACTCGTTATCAATTTCGAGTTAAACTTGTAGCTCTTGGAAACTTTGAGAATCGGTCAGTTGTGGTGAATGTTTTTCGTTGTCGTTTTCGTTGGTTTACTCACCTTCTTAAGGCGTCCTTGTGATGTACCGATAAATGCTACGTTTGTTTGGTCCACGGTTAATGCTGTGATTGCTGATAATGTTTCGTTATAAGTTATCGCTGATGTTGCCACTATTGGGATGGATCCATTTAACTTTAAGGTTTCACTGCAAAAACTTGCAACATTACCTTTCTGTTGAGGCAAAAAAAAAATAGAGAAAAATGTTACAAGAGAAGAGAAAAAAATGAGATGAGAAAAGAGAGAGAGAGAGAGAGAGAGAGAGAGAGAGAGAGAGAGAGAGAGAGAGAGAGAGAGAGAGAAACGTTAAGAATTATTGGCGAATCCCTGTCATGGATTCGCCAATTGTTGGCTATTGTTGATAAATTGACTTTTTTCTGCGAAAAACTCACAGCATCACAAAAGTGATGTAAAGAAAAGAAAAGAAAAGTAAAATCGAATATGATTTGAAAGTGATGATGATTAAAGAGGTAAAAGATGATAAAAAAAGAAGAAAGGGAAAGAGAGAGGAAGGGAAAAGAGTGAGAAAAAAGTTCTAAGTGGTCAATACTTACTCCTGATGGACAATCTTTTATATTTCCAGCAATATAATCCATATTTCGGGTAAGTGCACTTCCATTGTAACATAAATGAATATTTTCATTGAATTTTGTTTCAATATCTGCTATTGAATAGACACAAACTGCTGATGAATCAGATGGATCCCAAGTGTGATCTTTGGATGTTGAAAAAACACCAATCAATAAAGGTGATCCTGGTTTAACATTTAGATCAGCGGCCAAAGTTTTACCCGCTTTAATGGTAACCGCATCTTGTAATAGTGTATAATCAGTACCATCAGGACCAAGGCAGGTTAAGGTTACCTCAGTATAAGTGTTATATGCAGCATCGGATGAGCAAACTCTTGCTAAACGGGTAACATATCCCCACTCTTGAAGTGCACGAAGGTGAGACTTCATTTGTACGGTGGCAAAATAGATAAAATCATCTGAATGGAAACCATATACATATTTAACTAGATAATAATCTTTAAGGTGAGATTCAATGTCAACCAGGGTAGAATCAGAGAAAGAGCTTTCAATTACACTGAACAATTTAGGTCCAGATTCAAGAGATCGACTTGCAATTGCTGGTACAATATCACGATAAGTACCAAGGCGACTGTTGGTTGTACCAATATAAAGTACTGATTTAACTGGCTTATTATGGAGCATATAACGAGCTGGACCAATGAAAGCATAAGTTGACGAGTTTTCATCATTAGCAGCAACCGGTATTGGTATCAATTCCTCACGTGAGGCAATATTATCTAGATCATGTCGACGACAGGCTCCTTGATGAACAGAACCACAAGCAATTAATTTAGATGAATTTTCATCAATGACTAGAATTTTATTAAAATTGGTTGTTAACATTGTTGTATCGGTACCGGAGCAATCATTTGGTGAACAATTTGGACTATCATCAACTGGACCAGTTTCAATTGCCACTTCAACCTCTAATGATGAATTAAATTGATATAACCAATTAGATGCACCAACATAGAGACGATCACTACGATTATCATAAGCTATATGGGTAAAATTAATGGTCACATTTGGTGTAACATAATAATCTAAGATGGCAAAATTAGTCATCAACATGGACGATGATGATGATGATGATGATGCAGAAGATAATGAAGATGATGACAACGCTGCAGGAGATGGTAATAACACTGAAGATGAGGGTGACACTAATGAAGATGATGAAGATGATGAAGGTAAATTTACATTTAACTTATATCCATGGGGTGAATAAGAAGGTGGTTGTTGTGGTTGTTGTTGTGATGGTGGAGGTGAAGCACTAATCAAATGGCACATTGTTGACAATTGAACAAGTACTAAAAGGCACGTTAATGAATTAATAATAATCCTCTTTTGATTTCCACATTTTCTTGGCACATAAAGATCATTGTGATGAGGTGGTGGTTGTGGTGGTGGTGGTGGAGGATGAAATTGATGGTGATTTTGTATCAACTTGTCATCAAAAGGATGCATAGTATATAACGAAGCCCCAATAAGAATAGAAGAGAAAACAAGAAAAAAAGAGAAGAAATTTTCTTTTAAAAAAACACTTTAAACAGCTACATTACCAAGCTCAAAGTAGAAAATATATTTGTTGATGTATCTTTTCAGGTAGAAAAGAGAAGAGAAAAAAAAAAGAATTTAGAATAAAATGAAGAATAGAATTTGTTATGTTTACTGAAAAGAGGAATAACTTGAAATGAGAGAAAACTTGTTTCTCTTTTCCAATGATCTTTTCTTCTAATCGATTGACGATCGATTTGTGCGCAGAAGAAAATCGAGCTCATTGGGAGAATAGAAAAAAAGAGAATCGGTAACAGTCGATTTTTTGGGAGAAAAAGAATTTAATCGATTTCGATTTCGATTTTTATCAAAAGGTCCAAAATTATTGTTACATATAAATGGGTGTAGAAGAGAGAGAGAAAGAGAGAGAATATAAGAAATAAAAATTCAATCATGAGAAAGTCTTTGAATTATTTCCATCTATCGGTTAGTTAAGGAATTGATTTTCTTTTCTTCCCCATGAGTAACAGAAAATCAAGTTTTCTCTTTTTTTTCTATTGATTTCCAATAATTCATTCACATGAGAAATTGAAGAAAATGTTTATCAATTTTCAATCGTTTTTTGTTTCTTTTACTTGAATTTCATCCAGAAGATGGAGAGAAGTGAAGAAAAAAAAAGTTCGAAAAGTTTGGTAAACATCAATGTTATCGAACTGGACATTGGAGAGAGAGAGTGTAAATTATACACTTTGTGAGTATATGAAGGGAAAAATGTTTCGTAGGTGGAATGAGAATAATATTTTCCCTCGAGGAAAATGTACAAAGGTGCTGATTAGAATCTCACCTGGTGTATACAAAGTGATATATTCGTGGTCTGTTGAAAGGTAAGAAAATGAGACACGAGAAAAAAAAATCGAAAACGATATCGTATATATCGTATAATTATCGATCATCATCATTAGCGATATTGAAAGAGAAGAGGAAAAATAGAAAACAGGGTGTTCTCTTCTCGCATTTCTTGTTTTGAGAGAAAAGGGGAGTATAAGCGAAAGAGAACAAGTAAGAGAGAGAGAGAGAGAGAGAGAGAGAGAGAATAGAAGGAGGATGGGAGATGATGAGAAGAGAAAATGGAAGAGGAGAAACGAATCTGTGGTGGGTCCAATGTTTGAGGTCCCAAACGTTCACCTTAATCACTGCCCTAAGGCGATTGGGTGCAGACCACCTTTCTCTCTCTCTTTCTTTTCTCTTTCTCTCTCGTTCTCTCTTCTTCTCTACTCTCATCATCATTATCTTCCTATCTATTTTAATTACAAATAGGAGAGACCAAGAGATCTTAAAAAAAAAACTTGTTCTCAAGATGCTAACGATGAATACAAATAGTTCTAAGTGGTTCTAACAGATTGTTCTTATGCAAAAATGAATGGATTTTAGTGTTTGTCTCAGGGCGAAAAGTAGAAACATCTTCAAACTTTTCCTCATCTCCTTCATCTTCATCTTCATCTTATTTTTTGGGTAACATGGTCCAGGTCAAGGGTATCATCTTGGCCACACACAAATTCACAAAGAGTAAGAAAGAGATAAAGTTACATTAGAGTTTAAATTACATTGAGAACCATTGATTTCGAATAAGATTTTTTCCTTTCTCCTTCTTCTTTCATTTCTTATTTTCTCTCTCTCTTTCTTTTCTCTTTCTCTCTCGTTCTCTCTTCTTCTCTACTCTCATCATCATTATCTTCCTATCTATTTTAATTACAAATAGGAGAGACCAAGAGATCTTAAAAAAAAAACTTGTTCTCAAGATGCTAACGATGAATACAAATAGTTCTAAGTGGTTCTAACAGATTGTTCTTATGCAAAAATGAATGGATTTTAGTGTTTGTCTCAGGGCGAAAAGTAGAAACATCTTCAAACTTTTCCTCATCTCCTTCATCTTCATCTTCATCTTATTTTTTGGGTAACATGGTCCAGGTCAAGGGTATCATCTTGGCCACACACAAATTCACAAAGAGTAAGAAAGAGATAAAGTTACATTAGAGTTTAAATTACATTGAGAACCATTGATTTCGAATAAGATTTTTCTTTCTCCTTCTTCTTTCATTTCTTATTTTCTCTCTCTCTCTCTTTCTTTCCATCTCTGTATTTCCGGTCATCATCATCATCTGTGTGAGTGAGTGAGTGAAGGAAGTAGCTCAATATAAAGGGCAACTTTCAATCTAAATGATAATGATGATTTGGAACAAAAAAAAGAGAAAAATTCTTTCAAGAATTTACTTATTTCTTATTAATGAAAAATCTCATAGTAAAATATTGTTACTATGAAATAGAAACAAAAAAGTATCTTTCAAGAAACTGGATCAATTTATCTTCCATCATCATCATCATCATCTCTCTCTCTCACACACACACTCTCCTTTACACCCTCTTCCTCTTCCTCTTTCACTTAGAGAGACCACCTATTAGGTTGACGTATTCAAATGATTAACTTAATTGTTGTCATAACCCATAAGCAACTATTGAGTTTCCTTTGAAAATTATTATATTAAATTAACACCAGAAATCAAACAATTGAATTAACTTCATCATCTTGATAATAAATAGTAAAGATAAATTAAGATAAATGATAAACTTATTGTTATCTTCATCTTCATGTCGACATTGTTGATGATGAAATTATCATATGGTCAAGGAGTAGTTTCTATTGGTCATCTTATCGTTTCCATTGACATTTAAATTGTTATATTTGATTATCATGTTTATCGTCATCATGATAACAATTCAATTTTCTTGATCATCATCATCATCACCATCATGAAAGTATTAATATTTATACAAAATTAATTGATTACTTTTGATACCAAGAAATTGAGTTAATCATAATCACCATCATCAACATTATAAATACAAATGATTACATCAATATGATCAACAATTAAGTGGAAATGTTTTAAACATTTGAAACAATTACACCACAATAATCAACTAATAATTCAACAATCAATTGATTTAATTAAATGAATGAAACAAGCCAAAAACAAAATTTTAATCAAAACTGTTTATCAACAATTTAACAAAATTTATGATTTAACACAATCAATTGGGATCGGTTTTGATTGTTACAATTAAAAGTTAAAACATTTAGTACAATATAATAATAGGGTTTGGCTGTTTAAACAAACCCAATTAATACAAATTAATAAACTAAATTAACTCAATTGTTAAGGATGAAAAATCAAACAAAAAGCAAAATCAAAGCACAAACTCACATAATCATACATTAACTAATTACTTAATTAAACAATTAAAGAGAGAGAGAGAGAGAGCAAAATGATTAAGAAAATGTTGAAAATGAAAAAGCAAAGAGGTTAATCTAATTAAAAATTACCATTTAATTATATCAATAGTAGTAAATTGTTGCTGTAAATCATAATCAAAATTGAGAGAAAATGTAATAATTTAATTTAAATATAAGGAAGAAAATAAATTAACAGGTAAGTTAATCATTCCCAATGATAGATTAGACTCTTATTAATATGATAATTGATTAACAGGCAGATAAACATAACGATGATAATCATCATTGGCCACCCGGGTTTTCACAATCAAATTTAATTATAATTATTGATGATGGAAAACTAAGAGTTGCGAGGAGGGTGATTAAGGTAGGAGGCGGTGGAGGATGAGGATGGAGAGGAGGAGGAGGAGGTGGAGGTGGATGAGAGAGAGAGAGAGAGGAGGAAACCAAATCAAGGGCCAACCGGTGGACTCTTGATTTAGCGTATCTCCTTCAACGGTGGTTCCTCTTATGCTAATGTTGGAAGCCGTCATATTAATTATGATGATTAAGTTGATTGTGTTGGTTGATCAGAATGATTGTTTTAATTGCTTTTACCCAGTCCACAAGTGATTCATTTGTATGAGTTGTGTATCATTTTGTTTATAGAGTTTGATTGAGGAGGAAAAAAAAACTTTACTGACCAAAAGGAAATTGAACTTTTGAAGACTTTGAAGACCGATGGTCATTTCTTATTCTCATCCTTATTGGCATCAAGTTTATCTCTTAAATCCTGTTCATCATCATACTTGATGGATGTAAACCTTTTCAAATATGCAAATTGGCAACAAGAAGATGATGAAGATAGAGGATGAAGATGATAATTTTCCTCGCCATCTTTTTTGTCCATAATATTGACTTAAAGACTAGGGAGATATTTTGATTTACTTTTTCCCCTTTTTTTCATCATCTTTTTCATCATCATCTTAGTGTTGTTGTTGTTGTTGTTGTTGTTCAGTAGTGTACATATTCAATCAACTCAGCACGCCTTTTATCATCCCCTTTATTTCATCATCTTCCTCTTCATCTTATTGAATAACTACAACAGCAACATTCATCCTCCATCATCCTTCATCTTCTTCATGGGATCTCACTCAAATATACTTACTCATCATCTTATTTGACTTGTTGAGATTATATTAATATACATATATAAGGATGAGGATGAGGATGAGGAGTTTTTTTCTTCTTATTCTTTATGCAAGAGAGAAAAAAAAATACATCGTCTCTCATCATCTTTCCCTATCATCATCCTTCATCCTTATCATCATCATTTCAGTTACATGTTGATGAAGATGAAGATACACCTTGTCTTCATATTTTCTCTGTCTTTGTCTTCATCATTAACTGTGTTTCTTTCATCATCCCAAAGACCATTGATTATCCTTGATTCTTAATTGTAATCATCCATCTCTCTCTCTCTCTCTCTTATGTATAAACATTGTTGTTAACCCGTTACTTGAAATAGTAAATACATATTATCCCAAGAATCTAATCTCTATCATCATCTTGTCTTATTGTCTTAGATGTTGTTGTTTTTTTACTCATCCTCATCTTCATCAACCCACCATGTTTCATTATTGATCGCCACGGATACAATGAGATAGATAATCAATTACAATTGAATAATAAGCCTGAAAGTGAAATAAGCTAATCAATCAAGGCAATTTCATTTTCTTTTGTCCTTTTTTTTGCTCATCTTTATCTTTATCTTTCTTTTTCCTCTTTCTTTTTTTACTCATCTTCTTTGTCATGTAAGTTCAATGTTAATGATGATGACAGAGGAATGATGAAGATGATGATAAAATGTCCACTGAGAGAGTCAGAGTTGCAGTAATTTCTACAAGATCAAATAATGTTTAATAT